CACATTTGTTTGTTAATGTTTCACGGCGGTGCGAAGGGTTTGAAGGGACAGGCGTACACCGCTACAGGGAACTCCATCTCATTCTCCCTCCCGGCTCGTGCAGAAAAAGGGTGAGGGGTAGGAGAGTGGTGGGAGGGAGAGGGGAGGGTTGGGAGAACGGCCCCAGGAAAAGAGAAGAAAACAAAAAAATGACTCCCCTGGATCTACTAGTGCCGGTGTTTCCCATGGGCCCGAAAAAAATGGAACCAGTGGATCCAGGGGGCCTTTTTTTGTTCCTTGGAACCTTCCCCACAGGGCCAGGAGGAGGTGCCTTCACCCAGGGACCCCTCCCCAGGCCAGGTTCGCCTCCCTTTGCGGGGGCCGCTCAAACAGCCCACATCTCCGCGCCCTGGGCAGAACCCCGGGAGCCTGAGCATCAAAGCGTTCGGTCTCTCTCTCCCCCCTCTCCCTCGCTCTCTCTCCCTCTCTCTCTCTCTCTCTCCTTCTGTTCTCCCCCTCCTTTCTTCAAACTCTCCCCGCGCTTTTACTTTCACCTTTTTGTCCGTCTATGCCCTGCTCTCATTCGTGATCCAAGATAACCACCAGCGGATGTTACTTGTTTTGCGTTGGAGCCTGTGGTCTCTCTCTCTCTCTCTCTCTCTCTCGCTCGCTCTCCTTTTCGCTTTCCACCAGAAGGAGGGGGAAAAGCACGAGGAGGTTTACGCTTTTCCTTTCCCAAGGGAAAGAGGATGAGGATGAGGCCCCATCCTTTCCCTTTCCCTCAGGAGGAGCACGGGGAGGAGAAGGAGAAGGAGGAGGAGCCTTCCCTTCCCTCTCACTCAGGAAGGAGGGCGAAGAGGAGGTTCCCTTCCCTTGCCCCTCAGGAGTGAGGAGGAGGATAAGGAGGCTCATTCTCTTCCCTTTATTTCATAAGGAGGACGAGAAGGAGGAGGCGAATTCCCTTTCGCGTTCCATCAGCAAGTAGGAGGGGGAATGATTTCCCTTTACTTCAGACGGATGAGGACGATGTTCGTTCCCTTCCCTTTCCTCCAGGAAGGAGGAGGAGAGGGAGGTTCCCTTCCCTTCCCCTTCCCTCAGGAATGAGGAGGAGGAGGAGGAGGAGGAGGAGGCGGCTCATTCCCTTCCCTTTCATTCACAAGGACGAGGAGGGGGAGGGTCCCTTCCCATCCCTTCCCCTCAGGAATATGGACGAGGATGCGGAGGTTCATGTCATCCCGTTTCCTTCAGAACGAGGGGGACAAGGAGAAGGTTATTTTCCTCCCTTTCCCCACGAAGGAGGAGAAGGAGGTTCCTTCCCTTGCCTTTCCTTCAAAAGAAGGAGGAGGCGGAGGAGAAAGTTCCTTTCCGTTCCCTTTCTCTCAGGAAGGAAGGATGAGGAGGAGGTTCATTGCCTTTTCCTTTCCATCAGAAGGAGGGGGAAAAGGACGAGGAGGTTCATGCTTTTTCTTTTCCCTTCGGAAGGAGGATGAGGATGAGGCCCCATCCTTTCCCTTTCCTTCAGGAGGAGGAGGGGGAAGAGGAGGAGAAGAAGAAGGAGCCTTTTCCTTCCTTTTCCCTCAGGAAGGAGGGGGAAAAGGAGGTTCCTTTCCCTGTGCCTCAGGAATGAGGAGGAGGCTAAGGAGCCTCATTCCTTCCCCTTTCCTTGAGAAGGAGTACGAGAAGGAGGAGGCTAATTCCCTCCATTTCCCTCAGGGAGGAGGAAGAGGATACTGCGAAGGCCTTACGGCCAGTGCCGCCGACCCTGACTGGCGACGACGACGACGACGACGACCATCACCACAACGATCACGACGACGACGACGACGACGACGACGACGACGACGACGACGACGACGAGCGCTCTCGGGTGCCTTTTGGGGGTAGTTTGGGAGCCTCTTGGGAGGCTCTTGGGGGCCGCTCGGGAGCCTCGTGGGGGCCTCTTGGGGCTTCCTGGTGGTCTCTTCGGGGCCTTTTGGGGCTTCTCGGGGGGCTTCTTAGGGGCCTCTGGGGGCCTCCCAGGAGCTTCCCAGGCCGAGGGCTCGAAATGACAGGTTGGGTCCCTCGCCTGGGCTCCCTCTTGGCATCGTCTTGGGGGCTTCTTCGGCTGCCTTGGAGGCCTATTGGGGGCCCCTGGGGCCATCTTGGGGCGGTTTGGGGGGCCTCTTGGCTTGTCTTGGAACGACGGGAAGCTGACAAGGCGAGAATGCCGAAATCTGCTTCAAAAACCTTGGGGAACTCGATGATTTGTGCCCTTCGGGGCCCTCTTGGGAGTCCTCTTGGAGGCCTCTTGGGGCGTTTTGGAAACGTTTTGAGCCGTCTGGAGGCTACTTTGGCGACTTGGACCGATACTTCGGAGATTCTGAGATTCGAGGCCTTCGAGCACCGTCTTGGGGGCATATTGAGGCATTGTTGCGTTCTTGGAGCTTTTCTGGGCCCCCGAACCGCCCAGGGGGTCGTATCTGGGCGGCGACCCCCCCCGAGGGGGGGAGTCGAATCTTGGTGGCGACCCCCCCCGGGGACCCCCCGGGACCTCCCCGGGACCCCTTGGGACCCCCTCCCCGGCGGGGAAGGGATCAAAGGGAAGGGGCCTCCCGTCGACTCAATTACAAGGGGCCTAGGGAAAGGAGAGGGGAACAGCGAAGGCGACGACGACGACGACGACGACGACGACGACGACGACCACGACGACGACGACCACGACCACGACCACGACCACGACCACGACGACGACGACGACGACGACGACGACGACGACGAGTTAAAAGGAACAGCCTCTTCCACACGCCGACAGGGTCGGCGGATTCCTCCCCTTTCCTTCAGCAGGAGGAGGTCGAGGTTCGTTCCCTTCATTTCCTACAGAGAAGAGTAGGAGGGGGAGGTTCTCTTCCCTTCCCTGTCCCACAGGAACGAGGATGAGGATGTGAAGGCTCGTTCCCTTCCTATTGTTTCAGAAGGAGGAGGAAAAGGAAGAGGTGAATTCCCTTCCCTGTCCTTCAGGGGGAGGAGGAGGACATTCCTTTCCTTCCCTTTCCCCAGGAATAAAGAGGAGGTTCCTTCCCTACCCTCTCCTTCAGAAGATGGGGAGAAAGTGCCTTTTCCCTTCCCATTCTTCCAGGAAGGATGAGGAGGAGGAGGTTCCTTGCCTTTCCCTTTCCATCAGAAGGAGGGGGAAAAGGACGAGGAGGTTCATGCTTTTCTTTTCCCTTCGGAAGGAGGATGAGGATGAGGCTTCATCCTTTTCCCTTTCCCTCAGGAGGAGGAGGGGGAAGAGGAGAAGGAGGAGAAGGAGGAGAATTTGTTCCCTGCCTTCAGGGAGAAGGGGGAAAAGGAGGTTCCCTTCCTGTTCCTTCAGTAATGAGGAGGAGGATAAGGAGGCTCATTCCCTTCCCGTTCATTCAGAAGGAGGAGGAGGAGGAGAAGAGGGAGGATAATTCCTTCGTTTCTCCTCAGGAAAGAGGAGGAGGAATTCCTTCCCACTTTTCAGAAGGAGGAGAACAGGGTTCGTTCCCTTCCCTTTTCCTTCAGGGAGGAGGAGGAGGGGAAGGTTCCTTCCTTTCCTTTTCCATCAGAGGAGGAGGAGGAGGAGGCACCTTCCTTCACTTTTCCTCCGGAAGGAGGAGGAGGAGGTCGATGTGACTTCCTCCCTTTCCTTCGAGGCGGAGAAGGGTGAGGAAGAGGAAGAGGAGGCGGAGGAGGAGGAGGTTCCTTCCCTTCCTGTTCCATCAGGAGGGGAAAGGGGACGAGGAGGAAATTCCTTCCCTTCCCTGTCCCTCGACCACCTTCACGCAAAGAAGAGTGCTGATAAAATGCGCGCGGCGCCGAGGCGAAAATGCCACTTTTGAAACAAATGTGCGCGGCGCCTGGGCGAGAGTGCAAAAGTCAAAAACGAGTGTGCGACAACCGCATACTCCACAACAGCCTGGCGGGCTTTAGCCGGGGCTCCCTGTGAGGCCGCGAAACGTGTAAGGACGCTGCCGAAATACAGCACCGTCGACATGCGGACCCTGGTTCTTGAGCCTCAGCTGGAGCTCCCTATGGGGCCACGAAGGTGCGAGAGGTGTGCCAAAATGAGGCACCGACGCCGAAATGAGGCACCGACACCAAACGAACCCTGGCGTTCGGGCCTTAGCAGGGGCCCTCGATGGGGCACGAAACGTGCGAGAGTCGCGCCGACATGAGGCACCGACGCCATGCGAAACTTGGCCTTTGGGCCTTAGCTGGAGTTTCCGACAGAGCCACGAAACGTATGAGCGGTGTGCCGAAATGGACGAGGCGCCGCCATACGGACTGTGTTACTAGGGCTTCCGATAGAGCTCCTTCTGGAGCCACGACACGTGTGAGGGGTGTGCCAACATGAGTGCGGCGCCGCCATGCGGACTGTGCCACTGAGGCCGTCGGTGGAGCTTCCTGTGGGGCCATTTCTTGTGGGGCCACGAAAGGTGTGAAGGAAGTGCCGACAGAAGGCACCGACGCCGTGCGAACCTTAACATGCCGGCCCTAGTTTGAGCTCCAGATGGGGCCACGAAACGTGTAAGGGGGGCGCCATGCGGACCCTGGCATATCGACCTGAATTAGAGATCCTTGTGGGGCCAGGAAACGTGTGAGAGTGTGCCAGAATGAGGCACCAACGCCAGGGTGGGTTTGGGGGGAGAGGGGGGCGATCCCGTCAGCTTTGGGGGAGGGAGGGCGGGCCCTGGACCATGTATGGACGCGACTTCATGGGCGGCACTCCACACACACACACACACACACACTGCCTTCACTGAGGACAAGACCACAATCGTACGGGCGGGACCGTCTGACCAGCTGCTGCTGGGCCCACCGCTCAGGGCAGTGGGCGCGGGACCCCACGGGCAGCATTTTCAGGCCATCTCTGCAGCAGGGCCCACTGGACGGACACAGGCCTCTGCAGCGCAAGCAAGAGCCCCTCAGTGGAAGCACTGGGGAGAACACCATGTTGTCCGCAGCTCTCTAGTCTCAGTGGATGCGCAGTGGTGGCGCTCGCGACGCGCAAGCCGCGCATGGCCAGGCGGCGGCGGCCCTCCCCGCGGCGCGCGCGGCCACCAGGCGGCAAGCGGGCGCGGGCTCCGCAGGCGGGGCTGCTGACGCGGACTCTGCTCTGCGCGCGCGCCGCAGGGGGGGAGGACCCCCCCGGCGGCGCCGGCACGAGAACGGTGTCGTGGCCGCTAGGCACTGGGGGCCCGCTGGAGGCCGCCGCCGTGGAGCAGGAGGGCGCGCTCCACTGGGGCCGCGTCGCCTGGGGCGGCGGCGCCGACTGCGCGGACGAGCTGAGGCTGGGCCCGCTCTTCGCGGCGAGGCTGGCGGGGGGCGACGTCTTCTCGTCGGACGACTGCGCCATCCAGCGGGGGCCGGCGCGTCCGCCGGGCGGCTCCGGGCTCGCGGCCTCGCTGCGGTGTCCGGGCGGGCTGGTCGTGGAGTGGTCCGCGTCGTTGCAGGAGCTCCCCCGAGGCATGGGCTCCGTCATCCGCACACGCATCGCAGGATACAACTCCCGGGAGGTTCGAGGCAGCCTCGGCGCTGGCTTGTCCGTGGCCTAAGACCCGCCTGCTCCTGTTTCATCCGCGCGAGCCCATGCAATCCAGCGCCTTCCCGTCGAATCCTGCTGAGCCCAAGGCTTGACATGTCTCAACGGCCCCGTGACCGGGCCTGATATGGCCCTGAAGCGTTCTTGCGAAGACCTCCCAGGAGTTGCTTCCTAACGCATCGCCCTGCAGCGGGGGAGGGTGCACAGCCTCGCCGGGCTGCTGCTGGAGCGGGGGCCCTGCGAGCACGACGCCGTGGAGCCCACCGGCAGCGTCGACGGCTCGCCGGTGCGCGCGGGCTCGTCCGGGCGCTTCGTCCTCGGGGTGGAGCACCCCCTGGCGAGGCACCTCGTGGGGCACAACGCGACGCTGTGGCACCCCGGCCGGGAGTACGCGATGGTCGCGGAGCTGCCGCACCTGATGGAAATGAGCAAGGATCGGCCTGGGCCCCCGTGGGCGTCACGGCACTCGGGCTCGGGCTCGGGCTCGGGCTCGGGCTGGAGAAGCCTGCCCTGGGTCGGGGAAACGGAAGACTCGAGAGCACGCCGGAGCTCGGGGTGTGCCGGCGCGAGTCCTGGCTTCTGACGGTCCAGTCTGCGTGGGATGCTTGCGGCGGGAGCTCGCGTCGTATTTCACACGGGGTCTCGTCGTTTTCGTGAGGACCCCGTCAGGCCAGCCCGAGTACCCCGAGCCCGAGTCTGGCGTCTCCCCGACAGGAAGGCAAGGACATCTCGTACGGGGCGGTGATCGTCGCCGTGGCGGAGGGCGCCACGCAGGGCCGCCGAGCATTCGCCGAGTACCTCAGGGCGGCGCGGCCGGAGGGTGCGTGGCAGGGCCCCATGGTCCACTACAACAGCTGGTATGACTTCACGTCTTGGCAGGATGAAGGCTTCTTCTCGGGGGTCGCGAAGGGTGCCCCTGGCACGAGGTACCCCCCCACTTGTCGCTCAGCTTTGGGAGCCTCTGGGGCCGTCTGGGCCTCGTGAGGGGTGCTCTGGAGGCCGTGGGGGGCCTCCTTCGAAATCCTGGGGGCACCCTGGGCCAGGAGCACTTCTAGCAACACCCGATCTTCGGGAGGGACCCTAGGCACGCAAAGCTTCTGAGCCACCTCCGGAAGGAGCCCATGTGCGAGGAGGGGGCACTCAGGCGCGTCGCCGGCTTCAAGGAGCTCACGGGCCGCGGGGTTGCACTGGATTCCTTCTTGTGGGACGACGGGTGGGACGACCCCTACGCGCTCTGGGAGTTCAACCGCACCAGGTTCCCCCGCGGCTTCAGCGCCGTCGCCGAGAATAGGGGAACAAACAATGACGTAAGCATAAGAACTCGGAGGGCCGCGCGGATCTCCAAGCTTTTATGTTTACGTCATTCGCCGATCCCCTAGGTTCCCCCGCGGCTTCAGCGCCGTCGCCGAGAAGGCGAAGGAGCTTGGCGCAGGCCTCGGGGTCTGGCTGTCCCCCTGGGGAGGCTACGGCAGCGCCAAGGAAGAGCGGGTCCGGTTGGGCAAGGAGCAGGGCTTCGAGGTCAACGAGCACGGCCTGTCGCTCGCGGGGCCTAAGTATGCCGCCCGCTTCGGCGAGGCCGTGCAGAAATTCCGCCGAGAGTCTCGCGTCAACATGTTCAAGTTCGACGGTGTGGCTGGCGATCCCAAGGATCTGCCTGCCGAGTGCGAGGCGATCTTGGAGCTCTCGGCGGCGGTCCGGGAGGAGAGCCGGAGGGACGTCGGCGGGGAGGGCGTGGCGGGCAGTGAGGTAGGCGGCGCGGGAGCGGCCGCGAAGGGCAGAGACCCGTTCTGGATCAATCTGACCACAGGGACTTGGCCCAGCCCGTTCTTCCTGTTGTGGGTGCCGCGCCCCCCCCACTGCCTCCTCCCACCATCCATCCATCCATCCATCCATCCTCCTCCATTATTCTCCATGCTGCTCCCTGTCTCTATCATGCTCCCTCCCTCCCCCTTCCTCCTCCTCCTCCTCCTCCTCCTCCTCCTCCTCCTTTCCTCCTCCTCCCCGCTCCCTCCCCCTCCTCCTCCTCCTCCTCCTCCTCCTCCTCCTCCTCCTCCTCCTCCTCCTCCTCCTCCTCCTCCTCCTCCTCCTCCTCCTCCTCCTCCTCCTCCTCCTCCTCCTCCCGCCGAACGGTGGACAGCATCTGGCGCGGCCACACGGACACCGCAGTGCCAGGCTTGGGAGGACAAAGAAGTACCGATGCGGCTTCTCTCCGAACCTCTCCTGGGGTGCATCCTGGCCAGTATCTCCGGGAGAGTCCAGCCGTGGCGACGAGGGCTCTCCAGGACGAGCAGTGGTAGCGGTACTTCGTCGTCCTCTGAAGGCTGGCCCCTTCTGGACGGCCTCAGCCGTCGGCAGCGCTGGCAGGTCTGGCGCGAGTGCGTGGTGCACGAGTTCATCGTCAGGCGGGCGGCGCTGTTCCCGCTCGCGCACCTGATGATGCACGGCGTCGTGCTGGCCGGCCACGGCGACGCCCTCGCGAACGGCCTCCACACCATGACGCCGCACGACTGGGCACAGGAGTGGGCGGACAGCACAAGAGCCACACGAGGGCGTGCAGGCTCAGGGCGGGCCACCGCAGTCGAGGTGCTCGGGCTCCGTCGTCGGGCCTCGGCGGTGCTCCGGCCCCAGGGTGCCTTCCAGCGGCTGCGCCTCGCCGAGAGGCGCCCCGGGGGGGCCGACTCGTCCCGAGCGGCCGACCGAGGCCCGAGTGATGGCCGGAAAGCCTGACGACGAGGATCACTGGGGTCGGGCGGGTGGTAATGGGGGGGGTGACCTACACAGGGGGGGCGGAGCAAAGGGCCCGAAAGGGCCACTTTGGGGCCCCTTCGGGGCCCCTGCTGGCTCCGAGAGGAAAGTGCCCCTTTGGGGCCCTTCTCTTCGCCCCGCCTCCTCCTCCTCCTCCTCCTCCTCCTCCTCCTCCTCCTCCTCCTCCTCCTCCCCCTCCTCCTCCTCCTCCTCCTCCTCCTCCTCCTCCTCCTCCCACCCGCCCGATGGGGGGATGGGCCCAGTGGCGATGCAGTCCCACTGGGTGGAGGAGTTTTCCCCAGAGCCTCCAGAAGGCGGTCGGAAAGAAATCCTCCAGGCCACCTTGGGGCCAAGGTCTTCGAATGCGAGGGAAGGAGTGGGCCGGGCAAGCGAAGGGGAGAGAGAGGCCGTGAGACTTGCTCTCTTCAGCCCGAGCTCTCGAGGAGGCTTCTCCGAGGGAGGATTCACCAGGGCGTATTCCACTAATTTCAGCGAGCAAGCCCCCCAGACAAGGCTCAGACTTGTTCCATTTCCTCTTTCTCTCCTCGGACGCTATCGAGCTTCTCCCCCGTGGGAGTCGCAACTGTCGCAGCCTGACCCTGTGAGTCTGAGTCATGTTGGCCCCGTCGGGCGGGTGGCAATGGGGGTGACCCCCCATTACCACCCGCCCGGCCCTTCCCTCCTCTTCGATCAGATGATGGTCGTCTAAAACCTCAAGAGGCCCTTCATTCGAAGACCCGTGGGCCCAGCAGCCTCCCGCGTCCTCTGGCGTTTCCTTGCTCCTTCTGCCGATGAGCTGCCTGTCGCCGAGACACCGAGAGGCAACGCCTTTTCCTAGGATTGTCCTCTCCCCGTCTCTTGAGTGTTGAAGGCTTCCTCCTCCTCCTCCTCCTCCTCTTCCTCCTCCTCCTCCTCCTCCTCCTCCTCCTCCTCCTTATCCTCCTCCTCCTCCTCCCGTCTCCTCTCCTCCTCCTCCTCCTCCTCCTCTCCTCCTCCTCCTCCTCCTTCCTCCTCCTTCCGCCTCCTCATCCTCCTCCTCCTCCTCCTCTTCCTCCTCCTCCTCTCCTCCTCCTCTCCCCTCCTCCTCCTCCATCCTCCTCCTCCTCACTCCTCCTCCCCCTTCTCCTCCTCCTCCTCCTCCTCCTCCTCCTCCTCCTCCTAGCCTCCTTCCTCACCCTCCTTCCTCCTCCTCTCCTCCTCCTCCTCTCCTCCTCCCTCCTCCTCCGCCTCCTCCTCCTCCTCTCCTCCTCCCTCCTCCTCCTCCTCCTCCTCCTCCTCCTCCTCCTCCTCCTCCTCCTCCTCCTCTTGGTTCTGGCCAGCAGAAGGGTGGGAGAACGGGCGTCGCCACGGCTGGTCGCTCCAAGGGTGCCACGCCTCGCGAGGTCTGCCTCGCGCTCGCCCACGCCTCGAGGGTCCACTAGACGGCCCTGGCCACACTCGGGCAAAGCCCCGACTACAACCTAAAGATTCCCCCCCTCGCGGCGACCCAGGAGGGCTCCCCCCCGAAGGGGGGGGGGGGGCCGCCGACATCCGACGCCTCGATTTCTTCCATACGGGGCCCCCGGAAGTCTGCACCTTCTCGCCAGGGCCCGCCCCTCACTGCTCCTGCTCGGTCGCCTCTCGCGCGAGGATCTGCGGCCAGCCCCGGGGGGGACGTGAGAGGCAGCGGGCCCTCTCAGAAGGCCAGGCAGTCCCGCGGCCTTCCCCGAAGACACGGACACCTTCTCAGCGGCCTTCCCCGAAGACACCGAAACCTTCTCAGAAGGCCGGAGGGCGTCTGAGAAGCCCCGCCGCCCTTGAGAGGGCCTCCTCCCTCTAAGCCCCGCCGCCTTCTGAGAAGGCCTCCTCCCTCTCGCTTCCCCCCCCCCTCGCTCGGCCTCCCCTCTCGAGGAGGTGTGGTCCCTGGCGGCCATGGGCCTCCAGCTGCAGGAGCTCTACGTCAGCGCCGCGCTGATGGGGCCAGAGGCCTGGGACGAGCTCGCGGCCGCCCTGCGCTGGGCGCGCACCAACGCTGAGGCGCGCAAAGGAGGGGGGGGAGGAGGAGGATAAGGAGGATAAGGAGGATAAGGAGGAGGAGGAGGAGGAGGAGGAGGAGGAGGAGGGGGTCAGGAGGAGGAGGAAGAAGAAGAGAGGGAGGAGGAGGGGCGGGAGGGAGATGGGG